GCACTGGTTTAGCATTTTGCATTCAGCGACATTCTTTTGGTGAGTCTGGAGAAGAAAACAGCCAAATTATCTCCCCAGTCAGCAAGTGTGGGCAGAAGCCCAGAGTTATCAGAACAAAGAAGTAGCATTCAGGGTACTTCAGGCCAAGCTGGAGAAAGAAGAAAATGAGGTTTTGATGGGTAGAAAGCTCATTGGGTAATGGGTCAATAATATGCAGTGAAGTTTCTGGATTCCTGTCACTATCAGTGAGGTAGGCGTAGCTCCCATGAAGCAGGTGCTTCACGACCATTATTACCTACTGCTTCAGCCTCCCGGCATCCTTTGTGAATGTTCACAATAGAAATTCCATTTCCACTGAAGAGTCAAGAGGACAAACTTTAAGAGAAGGTTCACACAGTGCCCTCTGACCAGGCTGTACATTTCAGTGCAACTCTGTGTACAACTTCAAGGCAAAGTAAAGCCATGTGGTCCAAATGCCATTTTCTCAAGATTGACAAGAACCTGAGATGTGCCACATACCATTTTAGAAGCTGAGGAGAAAGAGATGATTAAGAAACTCACATTGACTGTCCAGCCTGGGTGCTAACTGGGGATGCCACATACTGTTGGTTGTTGGTATCTGTGCTCTAGTGCTAAGGAACTTCGGAGGAGGATGTGTATATCCCTTAGCACACAGTGACAGACTCTGCATATAGGGCAGTGAGACTGAACTCTTAGAGGAAAGTGCCTGGTCTGCCTCTCACTGCCCGTCTGTAGAGCACAAACAGAGGGTGCAGTCCACCATACAAGGTGCAGTCCTTAACCTTGGCCACACATCTGCATTACCAGGAGGCTTCCTAGAATGGTGACTGGATACCTCCTTTAATCAGATCAGAATCTTTGGGTACGTGTGTCCTAAATACTCCTCGAAAGGCCATGTGTTTAAACAGTGCTGAGGACTACGAGCTTGAATCTAGACCTTCATCAAACATAGATGTGCTACACAGCTCTCAAGTGGTCTGCTGACGTTACAGGCAAGGGGTCTGGAAATGGTACAGTCTAGGCGTCTTCATGAGGTTTGTTTTTTCTCTGCCAGAAAGGTAAGAAGCAGGAAAACTCTGAAATGTAACAGGTAGCAGCAGAGAAATCTCCAGCACCATAAACAGAATCAGTGTTTAAAGAAAGATATTTATCGTTGATGAGGAAACAGACATTCAAGACACAGAGGAAAAGACATCCACAGAGCAGAGGAGGGACTCAGAAAGCCAAAATCCAGTTTCTTCTTGAGGGCTGGTGTTTTGTTTTAAAGCTTCTGAAGAGTTTTCCTTTCCCACTTTAGGGTTGGTCAGTTTGAAGACAAATAGGATGGTTGATTGGTCTGCAACTGTTGTGTGACCTGTCCTGATATGGCCTTGAACTTGATGAGCCACTCTGTCAACAGGGGCCCTGCTAGTGAGACATAAAAGCTGCCAGCTTTTTATGTCAAGTCAGAAGGGTGTGGAGCTGGCCATCTTGGAAATTCACCTTTGTTACCTAGCCATGGCCCACCTCCCTGTCTGTCTGCCTACCAGGGAGTCTGTTTAACTCCTGGTCTTTCATTAGGAAAAGGTGAAAGAGATGTAGTCCTTTCCATCATGGGGCTCACAGCCCAGAGAGAAAAGGTCTAGTTCTGATCCTGAGCCTGCTTCTAGTCTTATTTTCCCTGTTAACAGTAGTCTTCACGTCTCTGTTCTCTCCAACTAGCAAGTCCATTGATCTATCTGTACTTTTTCATCCTCTCTGGGTGATTTAAAGTGTGTGTATGTATGTGTGTATGTGTGTGTGTGTGTGTGTGTGTGTGAGAGAGAGAGAGAGAGAGAGAGAGAGAGAGAGAGAGAGAGAGAGAAAATATGTGTATCTGAGTATAAATGCCCATGGAGGACAGAAAAGGGTGTTGGATCTCCTGAAGTGGGAGTTATGAGCTGCCTGACCTGGGTACTGGGAACCAAACTTGGGTCCTCTAGAAGAACAGCAAATTCTGTCTTCATCACTATTCTGTTGCTGTATAGAGACACCATGACCAAGGCAACTCTTATTAAAGAAAACATTTAACTAGGGGCTTGCTTATAGCTTCAGAGGCTTAGTCTCTGATCAGTGGTGTAGAGCATGGTGATTCCTATGTTGCCGGAGCAGTAGCTAAGATCTTTATTCTGATCCACAGGCCAAGGGAGAGATCCTGGCTGGCACAGGCTTGTGAAACCTAAAAACCTACTCCCAGTGACACACTTCCTCCAAGAAGATCCTAATCCTTCTGATTCTTCTCAAATGGTGCCACCCCAGTAACTAAGCACTCGAATACATGAGCCTATGGGGACTGTTCTCATTCAGAGTACCATGTACTCTTAACCACTGAGCCCTTTCTCCAGCCCTTGAATGATTTTTTTTTTTTGAGACAATGTTTTTCTGTATAACCCTGGCTGTTCTGGAACTTGCTCTATAAACTAGGCTGGCCTCAAACTCAGAGTTCCACTTGCCTCTGCCTCCCAAGTGCTGGAACTAAAGTTGTATGCTACCACTGCCCCACTTAGATGATTTTTAAAGTTGTTTTCTGTGTGTGCGATAAAAGTTAGCATTCTAGCCATTTTTTTCATTGTGTTTTGATTTTTTGTTTTTCAAGACAGGGTTTCTCCATATAGACCTGGCTGTCCTAGAACTCTCCGTATAGACCTGGCTGGTCTTGAACTCAAAGATCCACCTGTTTCTGGCACCCAAGTGCTGTGACTAAAGTCAGGCGCCATCACTGTCTAGCTTATTCTAGCCATTTTTGAGCATACAGTTGTGTAGCATTAAGTATGCTTCCATTGTTGTACAACCATCACTGCCATCCATCTCAGAAACAGCTCTGTGTTTACTGAGCACAGCTCCCCATTCTTCCTCAGTCCCTAGCAATCCCCATTCTGCTTTCTGACTCCTGTGACTACCTTACAAACGTCACAGGAGTGGGACCATGCAGCATTTGTCCTTGAACCTGGCTGCTTCCACTCAGAACACTATCTTCAGGGTTCACTGATATAGCAGGTACCAGAATTTCCTTCCTCCGTGAGGCTGACGAGTCCATTGTGTGTATATCCATTAACCTATGTGTGGGTATCAGCTTTCACCCTTGGAACACTGTGGACAGCTCTGCTGTGAGCATGAGTAAACACATGCCTCTATGAAAGGAAATACCCAAAACATAAGTTATGGGTTCTGTGTTTAGTTTCTTGAGGATACACAATAGTGTTTCTGTAATCTCTGTAATGTTTTGCATTCTCAATAGAGAAGAAGGGTTCCAGTCTTTCCACATCTTTACTAACACTGATTATCTTATATTTTAAAAATAATGGCTAATGGAGAGATGACCCAGTGGTTGTTAAGAGCCCTGGCTGGCCTTCCAAAGGATCAGAGTTGAGTTTCCAGCACCCACATGGCAGTTAACAACTATCTGTAACTATGGTTTCAGGAGATCTGATGCCTTCTTCTGCCCTCCACAGCCATTGCATACATGTGGTACACAGACAGACATGCAGGAAAAACACTCAGAAACAAAAAATAAGATTAAATACATCTGTATACATACATACATACATACATACATACATACATACATGCATACATACACACACACAATGAGTATGAGATGACATCTATTGTGGGGTGGTTGTGGTTGTTGTTGTTGTAATGCTAAGGACTAGACTCAGAGCTCCACAAAATTTTACCACTGAACTATATCTCTACTCCAAAGTTATATATACATACATATATATTACCTGCCACTGAGTCCCAGAAGTTTTTATTTTGATAAGTCTAGTGTCTGTATTTCTCCATAATGACTGCTTATGCCATTAGTGTTAGATCCATGAAATTATTGTCTAATCATGTGTCATGGAGCTTTCTCCCTGCTTTCTTCTAAGAGTTTTACAGTTTTCAACACTGTGTTCACATCCTTAATAAATTGAGTTAATATAGTGTAAGAAAATGTACAACTATCTTTTTGCATACGAAAAGTTATTTTTAAAACAGTTATTTTATTATGCTTTGCTGCATATATGTCTATGTATTACATTCATGCCTCATGCCCAGGCATGATTCTCTGCAACTGGAATTATAGACGGTTGCAATCCACCCTGTGGGTGTTGGCATGGAACCTGGGTTCTCTGGAAGAACAGCTAGTGCTCTTAACCACCATCCCTCCAGCCCCAAGAACCACGGTTTTTTTCAATGCCAGGATTGTCCTTTCTCCTCCATTAAATGCTCAGCAGGTTGTTATATGTCAGGGACTCAACACCATATGTTTCATTTAGTGAGCTTTGCGTCATTGTGACAAATGGTGTCAGTTCAAGGTCAGTTGGCTCTGTTGGTGGGAAATATGTGAGTGAGCAAAAACAGCTCCCTCCAGCATCTAGGAAGCAAAGAGTTTCCCAGATCCTTTCTAGGAGGCTCCACCACCTTCCAGTGGCACCAGAGATTGGCAACTAAGCTCTTAGCCTCAGATGTTTTGGACAGGATGGGGGCAGGGTGCATGGGTCGGGGATTAAGATCTAAGCTGTGATGTCATACCTGCTGCAGCTCACTTTCCCTTCTTCCTTCTCTCCTGAGGTGAGGTTTTAACCACCACAGATGCTTTTTCATGATTATGATGCCGGATATCTATAGAGGACTGGCTGTGTGCCAGGCGGTTTCCTAAGGGATTACACCCATTAGGCCATTTAACTTTTCTGATGAGATGTATGCTATAGTTTTAACTAGGTTTGGTACTTGTAAGTCGTAGAGCCTATGTTCTAGCTTGGTGGTTTGGCTCTGAAATCTGTGGTCTGTAGTGGCTCAGGCCTCCTAGATATGGGATTCAGAGACTAGACAACCTTGGCCCTTAGGCTGAGTGTTCCTTCATGTTCTCCCGTGAAATCAGTAGCCCTAGAAGTAGTGGTTCTAGTCTCTTTCCATTTCTTTCAGGGACCCATATTCCAGGAGAAATATAAAGCAGTTTCTTTCTGATTCCACAGAGAAGGCAACGGATGGCTCCCTGCAGAGCGAGGACTGGACACTGAACATGGAGATCTGTGACATCATCAATGAGACAGAGGAAGGGTATGTTTTTCTGGGAAATGCCTTGTCTTGGTTTGGGTGGGATATCATACATAGCTTGTCAGGGCTCACTGTGGTGGGTCAACTCTGGTGTTTGTTTGTTTTTTTAATTATTATTTTCAGTCTGTTTGCTTTGGCATTAATAAGCTGAAATTCAGTAATCTGTCTTTTCCCACCCCACCCTGCCCATATCCCCATGGCAGTGCCTCGGTTAGAGAAGTGAGGCCTCTCCATCATGTGCTTTGAACCGTGAGTGGGAATGGAGCTGCTTGGCTTCCTATACTAATCATCTGCCTCTCCCCATTCCTCCTCAGACCCTGCTTCCATGTTGCAGACACGGGGACTGTCTGTGCCATGGATTGCTTTCTATGGTACCCTGGAAGTAGGCCCAGAGCATAATCAGATGAAGAAGTGACAGAGGGGTACCCGTGGCTCAGAGCAGCTGAGCATGTCTGGCGTGGGTAGACTGGACGTACAGCTTGCCCTCGGGTCTTTCTGCACTGCTTAGCCGGCTCTTGGTGTTAATGAGCACTGTGTCCTCTCCGTTTCTATTTCTCCGCTCTGTTCATACTTCTTACAGACCCGTCTGATTTAGGGTTTTGTCCATAGACACCCCATTTACTTTTACTATGTTCTTTTCAACTCCAGCGTGCCAAGGAGACCAGCTGGGACTCAGGCAGCCGGGGCCTGTAGGTTGGTGGTATTATCTACTTGCTAGTCTTCTCAAGCCGGTCCTGCATTCATTCCACAAAGATTTACCAAGTGCCTGCCATTTGCAGACCCTGTTGTAAACGTGAGGGCCGCAGCAGTGAGCAAGGCACAATTTCACTTCTGGGGGCTGCCAGGTTGGAGCAGGGAGGCGAACTATGAACAAGACAAGCCTCATAAGCTGGTCAGGTGGGCCGAGCCCTATAGGGAACTCCTGGGAGAATCTGGGCAGGTGAGGTGGTATGGTCTGGCTTTAATTTTGAATGATCATCTCATATTCAGAATGGTAACCAGGGCAGGACAAAGACAGGGCAGGCAAACCAGTGGGGTTTATTGCAGTCTCACTGTGTGACCTGATGATGGTAAGCTGGACTGCAGTGGTGGTAAGGATGCAGGAGGCGTCATTCGATTCTGGTGGGATTCAGAAATTAACACTAATAGAATTTGCTGGGGTGGAATATGAGGAAAATGTTGAGGATAACACCAGAGTTTGAGACCTACAAACAACAGGATGGAGCTGCTAGTGCTGAGGTGGGGCAGGCAGAGAACAGATCTAGATCTGAGCTAAGGTCAGTATGTGGCCCACCCACTAGGGCTTGCCTGGGGTACTCGGGGCCACACCCCCAGCCTGTGCCCAGTATGGCTGTCTCCATGGGAGAAGTGCTGAGATGCCTTCTAGAGGAGCTTTGAGCTTAGGGACAGTGTGACTTCTGGGACAGTATGACTTGTCCCCAAGGTAGCATAAGAAGCGGGTACAGGTGGCCTGGTGTCACATGACGAGGGAGTAATAGGAAGCTGGAAGTGTGGCTCAGATCAGCTTCTCATTTGCTCTATTCCCTGAAGAATGCACTTGCTTCTTCCCCCAGCTTCCATCAGGTCCTGATGCAGGTTCCAACCACTGGCTTGCTCACTAGCAAGCCTTCCGGAGCATTCTTGAGTTTTTACCATGAAATGCTTAATCACACACCTCTGCAGCCCTCCTTTAGCCTCACTAATTTTTCTTTTAGCTCCCTGAATTCTCCAGACTTTCGTCTTCAGTCAGATATCTAAGCATTGAGGGCAGAAAGTCCAAGAACCCTGGGATCTTCTTCCTTCTAAATTATTTAAGTCCCTTTCAAAGTGTGAGTAACTGGGACCTGCTTTCTCAGTCACTGCCCTAAAAAGGGCTGCTTGTGCGTTTCCCAGCACCCTAACCTCTTGTTCATGTGTGTTGGAATGACAGCATAGTGATTCTTGAAGAGTTTCTGTGTTTACCTCTATTGTAATGTGTCTGCTGAAATCCCTGCCACATGGGGAAAGAGAAAACAAAACACACACACACACACACACACACACACACACACACACACATACTCCACCCCCCTTATCCCTCCTGCTCCTAGCTGAGGGCTTCTGAATGTTGTTCCTCATGTTTCTTCCAGACCATCTCCCTGTCACTAAGTGGTTCCCATCAGCTATTGGATCTCAACATAAATCTCCCTCCTCTGGCCCCTTCCCTCTTGTCATATTATGTGGTATTATTATACTGGGGCTTCAAATCTTTGTGATCTCTCTTAGTGTCTGTCCTGTCCCACAGCTACTATTCTGTGCACTTCACGAGAGCAAGAATTCCCTCTGTTACACTCAGTATTTTTCTGCCACAATGCAGCTGACACATACGCAGCTTGTGTGTCTGTGTGTGCGTGTTGTGGGGGCATGTTTCATATATCTGAGGCTGACCTCAGACTTGCTATATAGACAGGGATGACCTTGAATTTCTGAGCCTCCTGCATTACCTCCTAACTGCTGGGATTACAGGTGTGCACCATCACACCTGGTTTATTCAGTGCTAGGGATCAAACCCAGGGCACTCTACAGAGCCACATCTCAGCTCCAAAATCAGCTCTTAATAAATATTTTAAAATGTGTAAAGAATTAATGATGTCCCAAGGTAGTCTGATGAGGAATGCAAGCATGTAAATACATCATATCACAGCACAACAAGAATTGAGACAGAGACAAAGAAACAGAGCAAGAAAAGCTGTGTATAGCTAGAGAGACAGACATGTGCCATGACTCTCAGCCAGCCTGGGGGCTGTCAGCAGCAAAGCCTTTCTGAAGTAGATGGCACTTCAGTAGACTCTTACAGGATACCAGGATATTAGCAGGATGAGGCAGATGGATGACAGGGAAAGAGGTGGAACCTCTAGGCTGGAAAGCAGTGTGTATATCAGGTGCATAGGAAGCGTGGTAGTGTGGATTAAGGGATGTAGAGCCTGGAGCCATCTACCTGGGCTGGAAGCATTACCACTTACTTATCAACCCATCTCCCTGTGCCTCAGTTTCATCACAGATAAAAATGATTTACCAGTAGTGCACACATAGAGATATAGTAAAGATTAAAGGAATAAACACACACATGTACACACACACACACACACACACACACACACACACACACATACTGTAGTGTAGAGCAATCAGATACCAGTCAGGCTCTGATGAGGAGCCAACAATCGGGATCATTTTATGACTATTTTTGACTGTTCCTAACTCAGTGAGACCTTAATTCTACAGCCTTTATCCTAGGGAAAATGGGGGATCCAGTAAACGCAGTAGAGAGGATGGTTTCTGGGTGGGGATGGGGGTTTGTTTGGGAGAAAAGCTGTGACTGGAGACATAACTTGCAGCTGTTTAAGAGCCACTGAAGAGCTCCCCACTGCAGGACTGGAGGGCTCGCAGGAGTCTGAGAAGGGTGTGGGTGGCCAGAGACTGGTCTTGAGGCCCTAAGGGACTGTCCTATGGGACCCCTACCTGAGAGAGCTCTCTACTGAGAGCTCCTGGGCTTGGCCTTCTCACACAGTCCACGTCTCCCTTGATCCTGCCTGACTGCCTGATGGTGGCCTTAGTCAGCAGTTGTTTCTTCAGCCTTTGGTATCATTTTAAATGTTCCGGTTCTTCCAACCTGACTGTGATGCTCTGCTCTGACACTTCTCCCTCGGATCAACCGAAAGAAATGCTTCTCCTTTTGCTCTCAGGTAGCACTTCCTGAAGCATAGCACTTGGGTAGGGATTTTCAGCTTAAACCTAACAAGAGTCTGCCTGCTATCTGATTGGCCTCCACCCACAATCTGGGCATGCTGACATACTGTCAGCCAGAAATACACAGTCCTCCAGGGTAGTGCCTGTTTTTCCCATCATGGAAATCCAAGAGGAGATGAAAGAGAGCACATGAAGAGCCGGTGCAGCCTGTCAGTCTGGGGTGACAGTGGTGAACCGAGCCTGCAAACAGGAAATCAGTCCTCTCTAACCAATAAGTTGCCTACTTTCTTCAGCCCAGCCCATCCAAGCACATAGTTGCTGAAATGCTCTTTTTATAAAATCTGCATCCCTATTAGAAATTGTCTATCTTAGAACCCTTGAGTTTTGCCAGGCACACTTTTAGTCCCAGCACTTGGGAAGCAGAGGTAGGTGGACCTCTTGAGTTCAAGGCCAGCTACACAGAGAAGCCCTTCCTTGAAAGAAAATTAAAAAATAATCGGGTGCTGCATTTGGTGGACTTATTTCCGGGTGTTCAGTACTCCATCTGCATGTTTGGGCTAGGACTGTGCTGCTTTTATTATTAAAGCTCTGCAGTATCGTATGGACTTAAGAATTCAGATATGTCTAACATTGGTTTGTTTGCTTGTTTTCCTTCACTACTCAGGGGCTATTAAGCTTCCTATGAATTTTAGGATTATTTTTCCTATTTCTGTGAAGGATATTATTGGGATTTTGATGAGGATTGCATTGAGTTTATAGCTCATACTAGACAAAATAACCTTTTCCACAATATTAATTCTGACAATACATGAACACGGGAGTTCGTTCCATCGTCTAGTGTCTTTGTTAAAGTTTCCCCCAGAGTTTGTCTTGCAGACATCTTATGCCGCACTGCTAGAGCCATCTCTGGCCTAAGGCTCCTGTGAGTGGAATTGTCCATTTCTTTCTTGGTATGCTCATCATCATTGTCTTATCACAGCTTTTTAGATGTTGATTTGATAGTTTGATACTTTGCTAAATATTATCAGATCTAATGGTTTTCTGGCAGTCTTCAGGGTCTTTCTCTGTAGCCCTGGCTGGCCTAGAACTCAGTCTTTAGAACAGGCTTGCCTCTATCTCACTCATAGAGATCCACCTGTCTCTGCTACCCAAGTGCTGGCCCAGGATTTTATATGCAAGATCATATCATCTGCAGATACCAATCTGAGTCTCCCTTTCCCATTGTATCTAGTTTGATTCTTTTTGAGAATCCAAGTACTATACTGAATGGCTCCAGTGAGGGTAGGCATTCTGTCTCAATAGTGGTTTTAGAGGAAATGCTTTCTGCTTCAGTATGATATTGTATATAGATTTATCACATATACAGCCTTTATTTTGTTGAGCTTCAATCCCTCTATTCCTTGTTTATTTAGGGCTTTTTCATGAAAAGATGTTGAATTCTGTCAAAGGCTTTTTTTTAATCTATTGAGACAATCATGTGATTTTTATACTTGATTCTATTTATTCTTGTGCATATGCTTTTGAGTTTGGCTCATAAAAATGTACAAAAAGTTTCTTTATTCTCTTTTTGCAGCTGCATAAAGGCCATGATGTAATTATTCCTGTTTCCTCTTGTAAACATCACCTCCCAAGTCTTTTACATTTACAGACATGCTGCAGTGAACAACCTTGATCCTACACTAGTTGACATTGGGCTAGTGCCCCATGAGGCTTGTGAGGATCATAGTTTATCTGTCCTTTTGCCAGGCCAAAGGATGCCATTCGTGCTCTGAAGAAACGGCTCAGCGGGAACCGGAACTACAGAGAAGTAATGTTGGCCCTGACGGTGAGTGTTGTTTCTTAGGAGGGAAAGCCTAGGACACCTACACACCTCTTCTAAGGAACCCTTCTGCCCACTCAAATGGGCCTCAGCATGTAGCCTGTGTTGTCATGGTTCAGCAGCAGCTTCCAGGGGACACTGAGGGTCCCCTGCCCACCTCTGATGCAGGAGGTGAGCTTAAATGGATAGATGTATACCAGGAGAGTATAAGATGTGGATGACACTGTTGAACCCTACAGCAGTGGGTGGAAGCTCAGGACTGAAGATCCAGAGGTCTGGACAGATCTTGTCTGTTTCCAGCCTATCTGAGATGCTGGGAGTCAGTTTCCTGTTTATACAGGTGTTTCTCTTTATCTGTCCAGTGCCTTCCCAGGATGGAGAGTTTCAGATGTTGATGAGAGGTTTAGACCACCTTCTAAAATGGGCTGATTGTTCTTCTTTTGGACTCTGAGAGGCCTTGGAGTTTTACCTTCACAGCTAGGGAAGTACCAAGCTGTGGTATGCCAACAGAGAATGGTCTTTTGTTTGAGATGAAAATGAAAGTAATACAAAGGTTCTTGGAAAAGTCAGCTAAATGACTCCTTTCAGGGCAAATAGATAAGAATTGTGCCCTTCCTTAAGACACAGAGAACTAAAAAGGGTATTTCAGGTGCTATTTCTGACTTAAAAAGCTAACAGTTTCTCAGATGCTGTAAAATCTGGGCCACAGTAGCTTTTTAATAGAAACTGTAACAAGTCACCATGTCAACTTCTGTAGGTGAGGAAAGTGGGTTATTTATCTCAAATGCTGCAATATATTTTCTTGTAAAGCAGAGGAACTGCTGTGATCTCTCTGTGCCCCCCAACCCAGAATAAAGTCCAAAACTTAATAGGAGAGCTTTGTCAGCCAGGAGCTTGGGATTTGCACAGCAGAGGAGAAAAGTCAGTTAAGAAACAGGTGAAAGCTTTAATTTTTTTACCTGAATATTGGTAGAGCCCAGGATGAAGTACAAATTGTAACGTTTAGTGACCCACATCACTGGGAAGCCAGTTCTGACATGTGTCTCTCTTCATGCCAGCTTCATGATAACTACTATATGTAGGAAGCTTTTTAAGTTGACTGCATTTCCTTGCCTTCCTACAGTGTCGCTTGGAAGCCTTCATTTGACCTTCCTCATGGCCAAGGCTTTTCTGCAAACCTTGGGAGGTCTGTGAACATGCAGACCTGTTGTCCTTGCAGCTAGCTCCCTGCCTGGCACGGTTGGCATGGTCTATGTCTTCCATGATGGCTTCACTTGTTAGTTTCTGTCAGCCCTGTTCCTTGCTGGTAGTCCTTTCCCAGCTGCTCATCTGTCCCTGCCTAGGCTGTTAGTATTTATCCAGTGGAGCTAGAGATCCTGAGGGCCTCTCTGCCTGAGCCTTCACATGTGTGTTCCTAACATCTGCTTCTCGTTGCCTAGAGGCCTCCTTTGTTTATTCCATGGGTTTTGGCTGTATCTCAGAACGTTGCCACTGTGCTACATTCCCTAAAACCCACAGAGTCAGGTTTGCCAAGATCCTTTTTGTAAGGATGGTCTAAAGTGGCTTTGATAGAGAAGACTTCCTGTGTCTCCTACATGCAGAGGCTTTGGGCTGCTGCAAGCACATGTGCACAGGGTATTTTCCAAGGCCAGGATGTGACACACTGACCTTAAAGTCTGCTGTGCAGGAAAACTGAAGGAAAGCATAGCATCCTGTCCATGGTCTCCCTAGAAATAGAAGCAGAGATGGGGGTTGACCCAGCCTGCTCCCCTGTTTCTAGTTATTTTCACCCAGGCCAGCTTCCTGAGCCTCCTACTGCTGATCCTCACCTGCCTCTCAGGAAAGAAGGGCTCAGCAGCAATGGTCAGAGTCTAGAGAATGAGTAGAAAATCCTAGAGGAAAAGGTACCTGCAGCACAGTGAGAACAGAAAGAACCTCTCTGGTTCCTCTTGGCAGCCCCATGAGTCCCCAGAGTGAGAACTTTTATCTTGAGGTCATCCAGATGTCTCAGCAGTTAAGAGCACTGGCTGCTCTCGGAGACGACCTGGATTTGGTTCCCAGCTCACAACCGATTGCAGAGAATCCAGTGCCTTCTTCCAGCCTTCACAAGCACTGTACACACTTGGTACACAGACACACATGCAGACAAACACCCAAACGCACGAAATAAAAATACATCTTTAAAAAAAAACTGCAGTTGTGGAGAAGCCCTAAAGGTAAGTGCACCAGGTAAACGTGGAGCCTCCAGAAGCACAGCAAGAGGAAGAAGGGAAGGGTGGTTGGGGGACTTCCGAGCTGCAGGGTCTCCTAGGGGAAGTTCCATGGCACTGCTGATCATCAACTTGGACATCTGAAACAGCTCGATGCCTTCTTTCAGTGCTAGCTCAAAGAGCAAGAGGAAAATAAATAATCCATGACACGGTTGTTGCTTCTGAAACCTCACAGCTGATGCGTCGGCTTGGAAGAGAACTCAAAGAGGGATGGCTTGGTCCTCAGGTGGGTCAGGAGGCCGGGGCTCCTGAGGATGTGAATCAGAGTTCCTGACCCAGGCTGGGGAAGTAACTCAGTGGTAGAGTTCTTGCCTACCATGCACAAAGTATGCGGTCAGTCCCTAGCACTGTAAAAAGGACAAAAGAGTGTCCATCCTTCTTTGGGTCAGGTTTTCCTTCCTGAGCCTCTTAGCTTTGAAAAAATAAGGTACCAAGGTATAGTTGAAGGGACCATAGTAGCTATGAGAATAAAATGAAAGTGTATGTAATATGGAGGGATCTCATTGTACCTGTTGTGTAGCTGGCATTCAGCCTGTCATAATTGTGAACCTTTTTTTTTCTGCACATTGTCAAGGCAAAAGCCTTGAAAGGAACCACTTAGGACACACATACAGGCAAACACCCAAACACATGAAATAAAAATAAATTTTTTTAAAAAAATAAATTGCAGTTATGCAGAAGCCCTAAAGATAATGAGTTTATAACACTTCCTGGGTATGCCAAGTAACATGTGGAGCCTCCAGAAGCACAGCAAGAGAAAGAAGAGTAACTTTCCTTCATCAGCTAATTCATGGTCACACAGGAACAATGAGGTGGTTAGAAGTGTCCTCTGCTGCTGGCACCATTTTTGTATGGGCATTTGTTAGCATGCCCTGTAAGAGGTGGCTTGGGAAGGGTTGAGTGAGCCTGTGGGCTGTTTTCAGGAGGAACAGAGTCAGAAAACTGTGTTTGAGACTGGAGAGGCCCTCCCACTACTCCCAGTGCCCCACCTGGGAAAATACAGGAAGCCATGGATGCAGCAGCCTTCCGAAGTAGTCCTATTGGTCCTACCCTGTGCAGGCTGCAGAAATAGTTGACATATGTCCTCTCTAATTCTCCCTGCAAAGGAGAGCTCCTTGCTCCCACTTTCCAGATGAAGACACAGAGGCTGAGTGAAACTTGTCCTGGGCCATCAGGGAGGGACTAGCAAAACTAAGTCTGTCTCCCACTGTCACCTGATCAGAACCTATCAGCCATCCTTTCAAAGTTACTGAGGCCTAGGGACCTCCCCTAGACAGGAGTGAGAAGGGTCTTACTGAAGAAGGGTGGAACCTAAACCTGACTGGCAGCTGGAGTCCACACACCACTTGTCAAAGGTTACAATACATTGTTGTTGCTGATTTTATTTGCAGAGCAGGAATATTTTGGGGATGTGTACTTGCTTTTTCACACACAAGGGTCAGTAATTCACCCAGCAGCCTCTTGCGACAGAGCCTGTGTCCCATTGGCTAAGATCTCACACTCAGGGCTAGAGAGAAGAATTAAAATGTTCATTTCCAGGAACCTCTCAGTCATTTTGACACTATTACGAGACCATGCAAAACCTGTGTCTCGGTTACCACCCTAATTGCCTGGTTACTGTTCAGGGCCAGGACCTTCAGTCAACACAGGATTGTCACTCCCAAGGAAGAGGGATGAATGAATTAGTGTGGGGGATGTCTGAGGGTTGGCTTTGGAGGGGATGTAACAGGAGGATGATCTGGAAGTATGACTGAACAGGTTAGAAACTCAGCTCCCTCCCCTCCTGTTCCCAGTGTAACAACCTCCCCACAATCCCCCCACAACTTCAGGTGCTGGAGACTTGTGTGAAGAACTGTGGCCATCGCTTTCACCTCCTTGTGGCCAACCGAGACTTCATCGACAGCGTTCTGGTCAAAATTATCTCTCCCAAGAATAACCCTCCCACCATTGTCCAGGACAAAGTGCTTGCTCTAATTCAGGTGAGCTGGCTTCCCTCACCCAGTTTGTTGGGTATGTAAGATGGGGACTGTGATACATGCTTGGATGCTTTCTCATTATTTTGGAGAAAAAGATACAGATTTGGGGGGTTAAATATTTGTTATAAAATATTTACTTTCTTTATACTCACCTCAGTGGAAATCCTAAGTGGTGGCTCTCTTGCTGGTTGGCAGAGCCTCCAGGAAGCTTCTCAGTGTCCAGCCTTCTGTTGCCCAAACGAAACAAAAGGGGCTCTAACCGGCCTCTGAGATAATGGAGTATATTGGAGATCAACAGAGTAGAAAAGACCATGTTAGAGTCATGTACCAGGTGGCAAGGGCCAGCTCTGGAGTAGAAATGATGTTAAGAGATGTTTCACTGAAGAAGTTACATTTCAGTTGGACACTGAAAAGTGGAGATGAGTTTAGTAGAAAGGCCAAATGTAGGAGGGATCTCAGGAAGAAAGCCCCTGTGCAAAGGCTCAGAAGCATCAGAGAACAATTATCCATACTTGAGATACACCTGCTATTCAACAATAACAAATAACCCAAGTCTATCCCTACAGCAATAATGTTACCTTTTCCCTAGTTTCTATAGAGCAGACACTGAGATGCAGTGTGACTGGGAGATTATAAATGTACCCTGCAAGTACTACTGGGGCTGAGTACTCCATTTCCAAGATAGTGCCCAGACATGGCTGGTGGGGGAAGCTACAGTTCCTTGATAATATGACAAGAACCCTGTGTTTCCCAACATGGAGATATCAAGGAAGTCACATGTCACACCTTTTCTGTCATTCTGTTTGTTAGATAAGAATCGATAAGTTAAGCTTCAAGAATTTGGAATTAAGAGATTAGTTGAGCCAGGCAGTGGTGGCGCACACCTTTAATCCCAGTACTTGGGAGGCAGAGGCAGGTGGATTTCTGAGTTCGAGGCCAGCCTGTTCTACAGAGTGAGTTCCAGGACAGCCAGGACTACACAGAGAAACCCTGTCTCGAAAAACCAAAAAAAAAAAAAAAAAAAAGAGAGAGAGAGAGATGAGTTGAATATGTGTGCATGTTTTGAAAATTATATTTTGGAGAGCAGAGTATAGTGTAGAATGTCCAGGGCTGTGCTTGGGGCTGGGGGTGGGATGGGCAGGAGGTGAAGCCAAAGATGGGTAGGGCTTATGGGGTGTGTGTGCTGAGGGCCTTGGACTTGGTCCTGAAGAGGTATTGGGGGAACCATTAAACATTTCTGATCTGGATTGTACACAGATTTTAGACAGAGCACCCTACTGGCATGACATCTGAATCCACAAGCACTCAGTATGCATCATGGCATCAGAATCCAGTATGGATGAGTAATGCATGTGCGAGAACCAAGATGAGAGAGGGATCAAGTCAGATGTGAGCATGACTCCAGTGAGGGCAGCGACTGGCAGCCCGGCTTAAAAGACTGGCAGGCGCACAGAATAAGCAGGGGATCATTGTATATGAGAGGGTTATTGTATGTGAGAGTGGAGAGGAGCCTGCTGCTCTGTCTAGAGAGCTGTCCGAGCTCCTGGAGCACTTACCTCCTCCTAGTTGGTCAGGTGTGCTCACCACAGATAACTCCCACCCTGAAGCACAAGTCTGCCTTTCTTAATCACATCCCCTTCTTGTGATCTTCAAGTGCAGCTTTGCTGTCTTTTCTATTCATCTTGGTTCCCTGGGAGCCCTGGAATGCTATGTCCCTAGGGTCTTGAGCAGTTGGTTGTCAGTATTGAATAGTATTTTTTTTTTTTTTTAGATTAGGGGATGAATGTAGCTCATGAGGCTGAGAGAAAGGGCAGGGTTTCAGAGCCCTCTCTCATGCTCTGCTGTTATTTTGCACCCCTCCCTCAATCCTGAAGTGTACTTCCCCAGTTCCACCCACTTCCATAGCCTCTCCTGAGGTTACAGACTTCTAGGGACATGAATGGTAGCTTTCTCTTACAAAAGATAGGACATCAAGCTTAAACTTTGTATTCTGGGTCAGGTCTGTACAAGGTCCACACTAGCTGCAGAACTGAAGGAGACATCCATTGAGGGCTTGCTCACTTGAGGACTACCCAGGCTCCTGGGTAAACACAGCTAACTAGATGGTGTGATCTGCTAAGGGGAGACAGGACCCCTTCACTGGCTGGGTCCCACAGTTCTCTGCCCCAGAAATGCCTGTTTCTTGCCTGCTCTGACCTGACAACTTTCTCATCTGGTCACTACTTCCCTAATCCTAGCTCCTCCCAGGTCCTTACCCTGGCCTGATGCAGTAACTTCTGGCATCTTCCTTCTCTATACAAGGAAGGCTGGGTCTCTGCCCTCCTGTTCTGGGCCATGGAGCACAGGGATCTACCTACACCTGTCTCTTCAGTCCTCCTCCCACTGCTGAGCAGCAGCTATGTACACTAGCCTAAGGTCTGATGGTGTGAGTGAGCTATAGCTTATCAGCCTTCCTGATGGACATGGGTGCTTTATGTTTGGAGTTGCTGCCACAAGCCTCCAGTGTATGTTCTTAGGGAGCACATGCATTATTTTTAAGTAGGCATGTATTGAGTACATGAAGCTGGCAGTTTCACTTCAGTACTATGAGAGAAGGTACTGGGTCAGGAGATGCCAGGATTTGTAGCTGTTCCACACCCTCACCAACATGCCACTTTCTGTCATTGCAGCCTGTTTGCTGCACTTGGGAGAGTGCTTCACCATGTCATATTTAACCGCTTTATTGACTATATAAATGATCGTCGGTGTTCATGGGCTTGGCAGCTGTACTCAACCAGCCACAGCAGGAAACTATGGAAGAAAAGATAGTGTCTATACAACCAGCCACAGCTGGAAACTATGGGAGAAAAGACAGTGTCTATACTGAGCACACAGATCCTTGTCATTACTCCTCCAGCTGTTTCTATAACGTTGACACTTCGCTGGTAGTCTTTATAAACCCCTAAACTAAAAATCAAGAGACAACACTGAGCTAGCTCGTACAATGACCAGATTAACCACAGACTTTGGTATCCTAACAGATCCTGGAACCATTCCCCTTATGAATACTAGGAACAACTATCCTCTTAAAAACTGAACCAACAAGCCAGGGATGATGATACACCTCTGTAATCTCAGTTGGGAGGAAGCATCCAGGGTCAAGGCCAACCTTGGCTACATCATTTAAGTTTGAGGCTAGCCTGAACTACATGAGAACCTGCCTCCAAAAAAAAAAAAAAAAAAGGATAAATTAGAGTGGTAACAATCATTGTTTTCCTTTACAGCTGTGAGTAGGTAGTGGCCTTTAAGGCAAATCCTGCAGGATGGGAAAGTGGTTTTGCTAAAGGTGCAGCTGCCAGTATAATCCAAACTCTTCCTTAGTGCTTACTAGAGTCCAGAGGCTTGGGAAGTAGGGCCAGATTAGTCCTGCCCTTGCCCTCAGGGAGACAGCAAGTTAAAAAGAGAGATTGGGGTTTGCTGTCAGGTAGAACTGAAGCATAGCTAGGAAGGGCTGGAGCTGGCCTTTGACTATTGGGAATGATGGAGTGGGCCTTGCCCTAATTTTCCCATTCCAGAGAAGCCGCCTGAATATATAAGTACTTGAAAAGCTTTGAAGTAAGAAGCTACACAGACAAGCCCCACCAGCTTCCTGTCCGTGAAACATGCTTCAGGCTTTTGGGGTGGGGATGGGGTTGGGGGGGGAACATCATGGCTCTCATTCCCAGCCTGAGCCAACTGCCTCTTATTTTACCTCAAAGATGGAAGCACAGTTACTGCTATACAGAGGGATGGGGCAGCTTTTCTGAAGTCTGTAGTTCCTGTGGTGGTGTAGGCGAGAGAGCTCATTCTCTTATGTCTGTCTGCTCCAACCCTTCATTGACTTGGAGTCACAGGCGTGGTTGGCCTAGAATTGGCCGTAGAAGTCGCGTTTTCAATTGCATCTGTCTGCCATCTGCAGCCCTCTGAGCCAACTGTGAACAGAACCTACCAGTTGAGTACAGCTTAGTGTAGATCACTTGCTCGGCATATGGAAGATCCTGGGTTCCATCTAGCAAGACGCACACATACTCAAGCACACACACTCTGATGTCTTCCCCCTGTGCTCCATTCTCCGCCTCAGTGAAGCTTTCTGTGCCTTCTAATGTGAAGGCTGAAGTTATGTTTTAAGTTTAAATTACTGTGCTTTAAGAGATCTATAAAACAATCAAGAGATTTTGGAAATAATCTTTTGGTACACCAGCAGCTGGTGATTGCTGGTCCCAGTGCCTGAGAGAGAAAAAAATCTATATAATAAAATGCCTCTAACCTGTGAGCACTACTTGCACAAGGACAGATAACTCTCTGGAATGCTGGGAGCGAGCTATTGTTCATGTAAGATATCAAGCCACATGCTCTCACTTCTGTAAACAAGTTTGGTTGCTCCAACTGCACAGGATGTGCTTGATCACATGTAGATAGGAAGTATATCAGGACATATGCTTGTCCCCATTGGATGAAGGTTGGGATGGAGAGGGAGGCTCGAAAGGTCTGAGAGACTGTGTTCTTTGATAGTGTCAGATGCCTGGTAGCACCTGAGCCTCATCACTGAGAAGCAAGCTGACTACACAACTTCAGGTGGAAGCCTCTGCCAATTTCTGGGTAGGTGTCCTCTAGGGGCAGAAAGCCTATGCTGGGACATGAGCAGAAGGGGACAGAGCCTCCTTTTGCCCAGAAGTATCCTAGGACCCGTAGTTCAAGTGAGCACTTGCTCTGAACGTTGTTGCTAAAAACCTTGAGGACTATAGAAATAGACAAAGTGTAGTCATGTTGTGTCTGCAGTTTGGCACACAAAGCTAAAGCACAAATTGACCTTTGTCCTTGTGTTAGTCCTGCCCTTGGGTCCTTCAATCACCAAATGCTGAAGCCACAAATAGAAAAGGAGGGAATTACATAGAGATCTTGGCTTCTCATGAGGTGGCCACCATGTCATTTGCCAAACAGCATGGTGGCAGAGAACCGGGGAGTTTGCCAGCACTGTACTACCTGGAGCCTGCATCCTGACAAGGTGGTTACTAGGGAAGCATCCTGCCTCTACCCACTCTACTGATCCTGCGCCTCAGTTCAGGGCTCAGGGTGACCAAGACCTCCCAGAACTTGTCTCAGCTCCCCAAGGAAGATTCTTCTCTGGCTCAGCCTGCAGCAGGCACCCTGCTTTATCATGGTCATATTAGCTGCTGACAGCCTCTATTCTCTGAAGTAGGAAAATAAAGATGCTTAGTAACTGAGAACTTAATTAAATTTAGTCTGACAGTTATTGACTGACTCCCTTCCCGGTACAATGGTAAGAGGCCTGTGTGTACCTTTAAAGATGCCTGACCTGGTTGGGGAGACAAGAGAGTTATCTAGACATGCTAGAACATGTGACACCTATAATTTATCCCATCTCCATGTCCTCACATACACTGTTCTTTAAATGAGTCTTCCTTCCCTCTTCCCTCCTGTCTCCTCCTTCTTCTCTCTGCTCTCCTTCCTGTATTTGTCCTTCTGTTGGCATCTGACTTTTATTCAGGGGAGATTACTGTTGTGAGCATATGCTTTGCTTTCGGCAGTCTGGCCTAGGCTGCCCAGGGGTCCTAGACAGGAGCTGTCACTGTGGCAGGTGGGGTTTAGGGTATATTAACCAAGACTTCTAAACTAAAGCCAACTCTGCCTGCCTAGCTAAAGAGGAGAGTTTGTCTTGACAAAGCAGGACCCCCCCCACCCCCCGAAGCCCTAGTCATTCTGGCCAGGGTATGGCTGAGCCTTGGAAATGACAGACGGGGTCAGGAAACACTCATGTCTTCTCTCTGCACACCACTCAGCATAGCAGCTGTTCTTTTCTGTAAGACAAGCTACCTCTGGTCCTGAGCCACCTATCAGGCTTAGTTTTTCAGAGGGGCAATTGTCTTACAAGAGAACGATCCAGTTCTCTGTTATGTCCAGGGTTGAGCTCTTGGCAGGAGGATGGTCCCACCTTGGGACATGTCCCAGTTCCCTAGGACAGGCACAGTTCCTGAGTGTATCTGAATAGGAGGAGTCCTGAGGAGTGTGTACCTAGAGAGAGAAGCATGGAGCAAGGAAAGAGTACGAAGGTCCCCAGAGCCATTTGTTTCTCCAAGAAAACAGAGGCAGGAAATGACGTCAGAAAAACTGCCATGCTCCCCCAAGCCTTTCCCAGTGGGCTGTGAGTAGAGGTTTTAGACTCCTTATTTTTATTATTTCTTTTTATAGGGCTGGTCATAGAACCTGGGGCTGATGCGTGCTAGGCAAGTGCTGTACCACTAACCCACATCTCCCAAGTTTGCTCCTTAAACTGAAAGCCTAGAATTGCAAAACTGAGCTGGATTTTGAGTAGGGAACAGATTTCACGATGCTGGAAGAATGGGCGAGGCTAAGGCTGTGAGGCTGCATGGGTCCAGGTGGGTCTTACCAGCAGCCTTTATAGGTACCTTCAGATGCAGAAGAAAGGATTGGCCGAGCTAGGCTGTCCTGGTGCCATGGTGATGTAAAATCCCTGAGTAGGCACATTAAATAAACGCATCAAGGAGAGAAAGCCAGGCTGACAGCGTTGTTTGTAGTGTGTAAGATACATTGGATATAAGTAAGGAAGCTTTTGGGAAAATGGCCTTTTAACTTCCAGTGGCTCTGGTGGTTAGAGATTGAATTTCTGTAGCTTCCTCTGGATTGGCTGGAGCTTATGGCTGTAGGCCATTAAATGCTGTGATGGTGACATCTCTAAAAAGTAGCATCTCCTCCTTTGGGTGCATATTGTAATAAAGGGGTGGCTCTGGGGACTCTATTTCTGAAGAGCCTGTTGAATAATTTCTGGATTTGATTCCTCTGTAACTTCCAAAGAACAGGATTTTTTGTGTAATTGTTAAGAAGTTTGTGCATCACCAGAAATGGTGATCTGTTCACAATTTTCTTGCTCCCTTTTGTCCTCTCCTCATTCAAGAAAATCTACTGTTGGAACTTTCTATTTCATTTCTGTGTTGGGCAGATGTATGTTGAAACTGTCAGCTACACAAATGTAATAGAAAAACACCAGGTTGATACAGGACTCCAGGGAGGTGGGGTGAGCTCCAGCCTGTGACTGTGGGTGATCTGGCTCCCAACGGACTCTTGTGCCCCTGGGCTGAAATCATGTCACCTGTCAGTAACAGGACCAGTCCAGGCAAGTTTTAGCACTGACTGATCTGAGGAAAACTAGAATCAGCCTTGGCTTCTCAACACGCGTCAGTTTCTCCTTTCTCTTCAGTTTGCCTATGGCCTCTGCCTCCATGGGGGTGTCAGGCATGCAGTTGGGAGGCGTTCAGGTAAGTCTTCACTTCTTGCAACAGTTCTGGCAATTGATTTCCTTGAGATGGGGCAAATGCCTGCATCATAATGTGTGCGGGGGACTTAGTGTTATTTCTCTGCCACTTCTCTAAGGAACTACATGCTAAATTAAGTTTTATGAGTTTGTTCACATTCAATGACATCATTGAAATCCAGGGCTTCAGCAGCTGTGCCTCTGCACTGATTGCAGGAGTGGAACAGAATAAGATTTGCCAGTGTGCCTTGTGTGGGTGTGTCTGGCAGCACCAGCCTCAGAGAGGGCTGGACTGACTTTCCAGCCCCTTGCCACCGTGTGGAAGGACCACTTGTACCTCCTGACAGGCCTTCCTCTCTCCTCCCAGGCATGGGCAGACGCCTTTAGGAGCAGTCCTGACCTCACGGGTGTTGTACACATATATGAAGAACTGAAGAGGAAGGGAGTTGAGTTCCCCATGGCAGACTTGGATGCTCTGTCTCCTATCCACACACCCCAGCGGGTAAGCTTCCAGCTAGTGTTTTCTAGAAAGACTGCCTGTGGAACAGCCAAGCATTGTACCAGCCTTTTGCTGATGCCTTTGCATTATTCAACTTGTCATGTGTTTTTAAAGCTCCAGGGCATTTCTTTTTAATAACAAGGGGGATGCAGAGGGAGACAGCTGGGTGACTGGTGATTAAGTGGCAGCAATGTCTCTCCCAGTTTCACACTGACAGTGGAGGAATATGGAGAGGGTTCCGTTCAGCAGTTTTCGTGGAAATGGCTGCTTTGGCTGAGCCTTCCTGTGAGGGTCATTAGCACCTGCGTTACAGAAGACTATAGATGATGTGAGAGAATCTGTCCTTATTTCTTGCGGTACCAAGGGGTGATGTTTGCTCATCAGAGGCAAGGAGCAGCTCTTAGCATATGGTACAGTGTGTAAATCAAGTGGATAATTTGTTTACTTTTAATATGGTACTGGAGAACCCACGACCTCGTGTATGCTAGGAACATATTCTATTACTGAGCCACATTCCAGCCCAGTCAGTGAATCTAAAATGTATTATGAGTATGGGAATTCAGCATCAGTTCAGGCATTCTTGAATTCTGTCAGCTTTGGGACTTGGAACCCAGAAAAGGCCTGTTTTAAAGCATCCTGAAGAACCTCTTTCAGTACTGACAGTGACCAGAGTGACCCTGTGTTTCAGAATTAAGGTAGTGGCAATCCTGGTTCCTATGGGTAGTTAGTTTCTGTACTGGCAATGAAGCAGCTCCAAGTTCAGGGGGCAGAGCCAGGATAGCCCAGTCTGAAGAGGTAACAGGGATTCATATGGCCTTACTGATCTCTATCTGCCTGCCTCTCACATGGAGATCTCAAGGATGGCAGTATGTCTTACATATTTGTGTGAACATGTGTACTAATGTTGGTGAATATATCTGAGATACCTAAGTGGGCAGAGGGCATAAATAGAATCATATTTTCCAAAGCATTATTCTTGTTATGATTTCTCTAAACCAGTTACCTGTGCTTTGTTGTATAAACATAACCCATTTTATTCTTTTATAATGACACAGAAGAAACAATGTTGTTGTTCTAATAATTACAAAGAACAATCAGTAAATTACATGATCGCTATTTATATTAGTTTCCTTGTAAAGGCCAGATGTAGTCTTGTGGTACCAAGTAAGGATTCATGATTAGTAAATGCCTTTTGGGTTGTGTTGCTTGTCTGCAGCACATTGTTCAGAAGGGAGGGAGGGAGGAAAGAGAGAGAGACAATGGTGGCTCTGCTACCCTGAGGAAGAGACTCACTCGAGCTCTGTGGATCCCAACTGAAAGTGCCACCTGTGTTAGGGGGAGTACCATGCTAAGGCACTTAGGTACCCAAGTGAATTAAAAAACACTGTTGTCATCATGCCAGAGTGTTCCAGAAATGGATCCAGCTGCCACCATTCCCAGGTCCCAATCACAGCCCAGGACAACTGCTGGCACCTATTCCTCACCTCCTCCAGCTTCCTACTCTACTCTACAGGCCCCGGCTCTGAGTGTGACGGGCCCCATCACAGCCAATTCAGAACAGGTATTCATGTACTTCCCATCCATAAGCAAACCAGCTAACTTCCCTCATGTACCTTTCCAGGGGTACTATGTTGAATGTAGGGACACAAAGATGGAAAGGCCTGGTCTCTGGAGTGGACAGATTGGAGATCATTGCAGTAGTATGTGGTCTTGCTGTGGTAGGAAGCAAAGTTGAAGATTCTGTGAGCCAGGGCTCACAGAATGTTAGGGGGATAGATTTGGTAGAGACATGAGAACATCTTCCTTCTGTGGACCAGGGTCAGGGCCTGGCTACCTGCTGGGCATAGTAGGCAGCTGGGAGCTATGGCACTGGCTCTGGAGTGGGCCTGGGGTTTTGTCAGCTGAGGCCTATGCAGGCAGTATCATGAACATACGTAGCACAGAATAGTAGCATGCCAGGGAACACTCAGTGGTCTGTCTGCAGGTTAACATATAGGCTGAGTGGGAGGAGAAGTGACAGGAAGCAAGGTCCAAAGCAAAGGAGCATAGCTGAGCTGTGAGCAGGCATTTACCCTTGGGGAGAACTTGGATCCCATGAGCTATGCCAGCAATCACAGTTCATACTTAATCAATGAAGTGCCCTGGAAGCAACAGCTAGGTCATTGAGACCTTCAAGAAACCTCCTCTCCTCTATCTGAGGGTTACTTCCTGGTAAGTTACTGATAATTTTACTAAATTGTATTTTTAGAGAATTTATGGAGACTATTTTTAGTTGAATCTATAGAATTTCTATTAGTTGAGATTTTATAGTGGGTGAGACTTGGAAAAAATGTACTTGATGTTTGTAGTTCCTATTTGTTACAGTGCCGTTATTATGGAACCTTGTTAAAACAGGTTCAGGCAGCTGTTTATAGGTAGTAGTACTGTTGTGCTAGAGCTTTGTCCTTCTGCCAGTGCTGAGGGAGAGCATGTGGGGAAAGCAGGATGCAAGCAAGGAGGCACACAGGCCTGGGTGTGAGCCACATTCTCCTGCTCCATGTAAGGCTTCAGTAGAAGAGCTAACTTTAGTCTGAGCAGGTAGCTAGGCCCTGACCCTGGTCCACAGGAGGAAGGTGTTCTCATGTCTCTACCAAATACTGTTGCTTGGTCTACTCCTGAAATACGGAGTTAATGCTCTCAGTTGGGCCTGGGTCACTGACCACTGCCCCTTTTCACCTCCATAGCCAGAGCCTTTGTAAAGGGGAACTGTGGACATAGGTCTTGGCTCTGGGCTCTGCTTCCTTGGGCAGAGCTCTAGGTTTGCTCTAAGAAGAATCAGAAAGTATTTTAAGCTGGGTGGCAGTGGAGCCCTTGCATTGGCTCACTGCAGTGTAGCGGGTGCTAAGAGTGGAAGCTCTGAGTGGTAAATGTAGAAACCGAGAACTGTGGCTCCCACCCCAGGTGGAAAATGGAAACTGAAGCATGTTGGCCATGGTCTGGCCTGGGCTGCTTCACAACTCATCAGTGGGAGAATCTTCTTAACCATGGTGTTAAGGAGGCTCTGGGGCCACTCCCAAAGTAAGGCAGAGGGTGGCCTTTTGGAGCCTAATCCATCTCCTAGGTGATTGTTGAGGTGGGTCTCTTTCCTGTCTCTTCCCTGAAGAGTTAAGAGTTTGCTGAGAGACCCTTGCAGCACAGGAGGGAGAGGTTAAGGGAGACTGGTAGAAGATGTTTGTACTCAGGCAAGCCAGGGAAAATGGAAAGCCCTTGCTAGGACAGACAGGTATGGATCTGGAATATGTCTCTTGCAGGAAAAGTACCTACCCCATTCAGCTCTGGGATACTGTAGGAACAGGCGTGCCTATGGTTGGCAGTATGCATTGTAACAGGTGTACCATGCACAAGGCAGGCCCCACAGCAGCCTTCAAGGTGTGGGGTTATCACTTCCTTCCCATAGGTGAGGGGATGAGTCTCACTGTGGACAAGGAAGGTCCCTGTGGCTTCCACTGGTGTCTTGAAAGGATGAGAGACACCAGGAGGTAACCCATACCTCGGGACTGGAAGACAAAGGGAGACAGTGCTCAGTATGCCAACTGCAGGAGAGAAGGCTCAGGGTTTGCGGGTGCTGATGCTGAGCTGGGTGGGCTGTTTTCAAAAGTCTGCTCACTCCTCACCTATTCTTTTCTTATCAGAAGAACACTAGGAGTACTGGCCAGCCTCCGTTAGGGTGCGACACTAGAAGGGACAGTCTGTATGCATGAGGGTCACATAGAAAGGGGACTCCATCCTAAAAGGATCTTGGAGCATCTGCACTACCACACACTGATTTTAGAGGAAACAGAAGCCTAGTCAGTTAAAGGCCTCTGCAGGGTCCTGTGGGAGGAGAGTTGCGGGTGCTCAGCTCCCTCCTGCCCTGTGTTACTTACTGCATGTTGTTTGTCACGTGCTGTTATGTACAGCGAGGTGCAAATAACAGACTTAGTGACCAGGGCTCCCAGCCTCTGTCACCTAGTTTTCACCATACTCCAGTCCTTGGTAGGCAGAACAAGGCGAGGAAGAGGCTATGCCTGTGGTTCAGATTGATCTAGGTGATCTCACAGTGGCAGGATTGTCTCAGGCGGTGGGCTGGCTGGTTCTGATCTTGTGGCTCACTGACCTTCTTCCTACCTTCTTCTTGGCCTACAGATTGCTAGGCTGCGCAGTGAGCTGGACATTGTTCGGGGAAACACAAAAGTCATGTCTGAGATGTTAACAGAAATGGTCCCTGGGCAGGAGGATTCTTCTGATCTGGAACTACTACAGGTGAGGATAACTTTAACTTAGGATGTGTGGGCTGAGTGCCTGGCTGGGCCCTTAGAGACAGTGCTGCACACTGTCGTAGGACCCTCCTTGGGCACACAACCGTGTTGACAAGTCTGGTGGTACCATGGTGGAGAGGGTCCAAGTCCATGTTGGTTTATATTCAGCCTTTCTTCTTAGAGATGGGCAGAGGCCAGTGTCACTCTCTGTTCTTTAAATGTTTTATTTAATAGCTTTTTCCTGGGTCAGAAGTACCAGTTGTAGAATATATGCCTATCAAAACAAAAAATATTTTTCCTTAGTTTTTATCATCTGCAGTAAGTAGAGTTTATATTTTGCTGTATTTTCAGTTATTTTCTTTGTCATGTTCATGCATTTTACATTGAGTTGAAATTATGCTGTTGTGTACAGTCTTGTGCGTGGCTTTGCTCCCTTGTAACTGTATCATAAACATACTGGAATAAGAGTTCTTGGGCCTTGATGACATGGAGAAGCTGTGCTAGTCTCTCATCCTAAGGTAGGAGTCTGAGGTAAATTCAAAGCCTCTGTTCTCTGCCTCATTGCTGGGACCACTCAGGCTTGGGGTGGACACTGTGGTTCCTGAGAAGCTGCTGTCTCACTCCCAGCCTCTTCGCCTCTGAACACTATAGATGGCGATGCTGGAGGTGGGACATAGGACCCTGCACACTAGGCAAGTTATTCCACAACTGAACCGTACCTGAGCCCACCCTACATATCTTGAACATGGCAGGAAATGGAGACAGGAGGAAGCCAAGCTGCAGTCTCAACCTTCAGTTAGTTGAGAGCTGTGAGGCCCAGAGGCAGAGCTCTGTCACATTAGCCTGCAGTGAGTCCTGTACAGGAAGTGGTAGTGGCACTGCCCTTCAGGACAGTGATCTTCTGGAAGGGCAGAGAGAGGATGCTGTGAACCTCAAGTACCAGATCCCTCCTCCAAAGGGTAGGGTGTATGAGTGCACAGATCAGAGTCATGCTGGTGTGATGACCTGGCCTGAGTGCCTCATGATACCCTTGTTACTACTGTTGCTATTTCTGTCTGGCAGTCATGTACACCTGAATACTGCGTCTCCCACTTTGCTGTATACACACACTGGTCACCCGGGACACTTGGCTCTGATGGTTCTGTGCTTTGGTAATATACATGCCCAGTAGTTTTGCTACTTGGAGTTCCCACTCCCCACTCCAAGCCCTTAGTTCCTATGTGGCAAGGCTTGGTAGAGCCGCCTTCTGGTCCAGCACTGAGTACAGTCTAAGGGTCATAGACAATAGGAGATATGGCTCCTGCTCTAAGGAGCTCCCAGCTAAGTACAGAAGACAGACAAGAACCTGCTGACCTGTAGGGAACCCAGACATCAGGCCACTCTTGAAACCGAGATGAGTACCCTTGAGTTATGTCAGTGGGAGCCTGAGCAGCACCTCTCTGGTTCCAGGACTTCACTCCTGACACCTGCAGCAAACCAGGACCCTGGTTCCTCAGGTGGTGACTGTGTGTTATACTCAGTGGACCTACCTACCTCTAATACACCATCACTGGCCCCTAACCTAGCCTGCAGGAGGGCTCGGCTAGGCATCTCATGGTGCACAAGAATCTGAGGACAGTTCAATATGATATGGTGATGCTATATTGTATCAGTGTTGGAATTCCTTTTATGGGGTGGGGGCTGTCACTCTGGGCAGAACTGAGCTGACAGTGGAAGGCTGGTTGAACAACAGCAAGGTGGTTCCAGACAGCCAGAACAGACCGCAGAGATGGTCTGTGTGTGTGTGTGTGTGTGTGTGTGTGTGTGTGTGTGTGTGCGCACATGTGCATGTGTGCATGTATGCATGTGTGTGTGCATGTGCGTCCTTACATGTATGCATAGAGTGCATGTACATGTAGTGCATGCCTGTGGTTGTAGGGTAGTTTGTTTGTTTAAACAAGCTCATCAGCCAAAAATAACAGAACCTAGTCTCCTGGCATCAGCTCAGTTTTCAAAAATAGGTTGCTTCCAATGACATTTTCCTTCACTCTGTTTTGTTCCAACTCAGAGCCTACTGGCCCCCACTGCTGTCATATAAATCAAACAGAAAAAGACCATGTCTGGGAGCCTGCGGGAGGCTGTCATTTTAGTGTAGAAGAGGCAGAAACGGGGAGCTGTGTGACAGACTCACTTTTCCTGGCTGGAGGCCACTGCCTTATGTCGCCCTTCTTCTGCCCCAGCAGTCAGCAACCAGCAGGCAGTGGCTCTCACAGAATAGTGAGCCTTCCATATGGGAACATGCCACTGTCCTCTTGGAATGAGGTAGGGTCAAAATCTGCCCCTAACATTCCTTGGGCAATATGGAAGACAGCCAGACTACTCAGGGCAGAAGTAGTCCAGAGCTCAGAATGCTGGCCAGGGCCCTGGAAATAAACATATTTGTCACCAGCCCAAATGTCCCCACCAACAGACACAAGCTGCTCCTGAAACAATGTAAGTTGATGACTAGAAAGTGCAGGGAGTCGGAGGAGAGGTGATTGGAGGTACCAGTCAGGATGTACCTGTGGCTAGTTGTACTCATGGACAGTTTGTATCCCAGTTGCCTCCTGCTTACGGCAAAGCTCTTCCAGGTGTGTCCTCCTGCAGCCCATGGGAGCAGCAGGGAAACATGTGAACTACTTGTCTGGGGATTCCTAGAAATATGACTTGTCTTTGAGGAAAAGCTAAGACCAATAACACCTAGTGCTGTCAGCTTTGCTGCAGGCCCCAAGGAGGGAAGATTCTGGGAGGGGACTCGGCACCTCCCAGGGTGGGTGTCAGATCCTCAACGTTCTGAGCTGAGCAATATCTTCCAGACAGCTATTCCAACTCAACACCTGTGCCCAGATTTCCTCTCCAGAGTCTTGGATCAGTTTTTCTTCACATCCCAGTGACAGGCTGTTCTGGCTGTCATAAAAGCACTATTTGTTTCCAGCAGGCATCTAGGTTAGCCTCTGAGCACAGCAGGGCAGACAAATTACAAATGGCCGGATGTACATCTGGAAGACTCTGGGTAAGGCACGGTCCTTCCTGTGCCTGTATCTCCTTCCTTGGTACCTGGAGTGATTGCTTTCACTGTGAACGTGGCTGTCACAAGGCATGTCCTCTGTGAATCATAGCCTCTTAACCATTGTTGAAAAGCCCTTCTGCACACTGAACTCAAGTCTGTTCCCTGTAGCTTTAATGTGGTCTGTGCTAGACAAAAGCACAAAAATCCCTTACCTGCGTGGGTAGAGCCCTGGGTATCCAAGGACTGCTGTAAAGCCTTCCTACTGGCCAGTGTCCATGATGCTGACATGCCTTGTGCAGGAACAGGCAGCCTACCACAGGAGCAGGTATTGTCACACCCTCGGTCATTCTGCACCTTTTGTTTTGTTCTTTGTTTTGAGACAGTCTTACCATACAACCATGGCTGCCCTGGAACTCTCTAAAGTAGGCTGACCTCAGATTCAGAGATATGCATGACTCAGCCTCCCGAGGCTTAGTATTCACGTGGGTGCCACACCTGGCATGCTGTACCACCTTCATCCCACATATACATACATATGGTTGAGCCCTGAAGTGCAAAGCTGTCATTTTCCTTCCTAAAGCACATGCCCTTGTCTGAAACTGACTATGTTTTATTGGGATCTAACTGAGCCTCTGAAGCTGTCCTCGATTAGTAATAACCTATGCAGTGATAGATATTGTACAGGTCTCTATGGGGGGGGGGGGAAAGCCCTTCTCTGTGCTGTTTTTTTAAGTAGCTTGTGGCCATCCCTGCTCGCTTTGTGCATCTCATTTCAACAAAGAGAGTGGCCAAGATATTCATCTCAGGAAAACTTGAGCGTATCCCACGCCTTGTGCTCTCCCTTCTCGTCAGTGGACCTTCCCTCCCTTCCGTCCCCTTTGCTGCTGCAACAGGACGAATCTCCAAGACTAAATTCTCCATTCCTTTGCCTTGAAAAGGGTTTAGAGGATAAAAAGATTATTTTGTGAGGTAGAGATGAAACTGTCTCTTGAAGGGAAGATAACAGCATCAGGGTTAACGAGGCAGCAAAGAGGGTATTTGATCCAGTGTTCTGACTGACGGCAGGCATTTGCAGAAGTGACTGGCTGCTGAGAACCCGAGATAGGAGAATGCCAGCGCAGAAGTCCTTGGCACTGAAGGAATTCCTGGCCCAGAGTCTGCATGGTGGAAAGGGAGACCTGCCCAAGCTGCTGGCCTCTGGCCCAGAAGAGAATCAGTCACTGCTCCTCATGGTTAGGAATAGAGGGTGACGGAGGTATCTCCAACAGCCTGCTGTGATGCTGTAGGTGACACCAGGGGGGCCACAGGGATGGCTGGCTGGCACAGGGTGGCACAAATCTCAAGATTCTGCCCCATCTCTCTTTTTTTTTTCTTTTTAAACATGATTTTTTTTTTTTAACTTTTATTATGTGCCTGTGTGAGGGTATGTGCATGTGAGTGTAGGGACACACAAAGACCAGCAGAGGGCGCTACATCTCCTGGAGTTGGGAGTTCTGTGGTTGTGAGCCATCCTTTGTGTGCTAGGAACTGAACTCAGGTCCCCTGCAATAGCAGTGCACATTTTAACCACTGAGCCATCTTTCTAGTCCTCTCATCTCTAAAGATGTATTATTTTATATTATGCATATAAATATTTCTCTGCATGTCCGTTTGTGTCTCATGTGTGTGCCTGGTACCAGCAGAAGTCAGGAGAGGGTATCCTGTCCCCTGGAATTGGAGTTACAGGCAATTGGGAGCCATAAGTAAATGCGTGTTGTACTTTAGAATGAGGAAGATGCACCACTGACTCATGACACACGGATTTTAGATTGCTAATATATCCTTTGTAATATCTTCATTTTACTTATTTTACATATATGGGATTTCATCTCTCTTTTCACCCTTTTTTTGAGACACTGGGTTGATAGTTGAAGTCAGGAGATGTGCAGACCTTGAGTCAGAAGGCTGTGCTGTGTGAGCCTGTCTGTGGGCAGAGTCTTGTGACAGCCCTCGAAGCATCTTCCACAATGTGGCCTGTGAGAATCTGAAGAGTGTTTTCCCTCCTCTCACCCTGGCAGGAGTGGAGAGAGATGCAGCAAATGCAAAGTCAAAGTAGGTCTTTCTGGTGTTAGTGTCTGAGCTCACTTGTCTGTGTCTTTTGGTCAGAATGCCTCCAGAACTTTCCTAATGGGCTTTGAAAGTAATGGAAGTCTTCCTCCAGTCTGAATTCTGTAGTCTGGCAATGTAGCAGGTCCTTAGATGTCACTGAGATGCCTCCGTGGAACTCTGCAGAGGTCTGGGATCAGAGCTGTGGGTATGGAGAATATATCTAGCCATACCTGCTTGCTGCTGCTGCTGCTGCTGCTGCTGCTGCTGCTGCTGCTGCTGCTG